TTTAACTTTTACTTTATTTTTTATAACAATTTTAAATAAATTATAAAGTTAGTTTTAAGTATTTTTATTACTATTTTTTTTATTTATTAATTTTTAATTTTCTTATTGTAGTTGTATTTTAAATTATCGCAGTATAATATTAGTATTAAGTAGTTTAATATTTGTAGCTTTAAATACTTTTTATATATTTATAAAAATAAATATAGTATTATAAATAGCTTAAAATAATAGGAAAAAGTTGCCTTTATTTATAAAGATAAAGCTTTAGCTGTAATAAAAATAGTATATAAGTTTAATTAAATAGGCAGTTAAAAAAAGCAAAAAAAGTACTATATTTAAAAGTTGTAAGCTATAAATTAAATAAAAAAAAATATTATTAAAAAAATTTTATTAGTATTATAAAAGTTTATAAAATTAGTAGTAAAGTGGCTGCTATAGCTATTAAAAATAAAAATTTTGTAATTTACCTGTGCTTTGCTTTTTATATATTAATTAAAAACTTGTTTAAACTAGGCTAAACTAATATTATTATTAAATTATTTAGAAAAACTTATTATAAAAAAAACTTAGTATTTTTTAATTTTTATATTACGTAACTAAGCGTTGCAAAATTTTCTTTTTTTTTTAAAAATTATATTTAAATTTACTGCGCTTTTATTTGCACAAATATATACTAAAATTATTATTTACTTTTAATTACTATTTTATAAGGCTGCTGTAATTTATTTTTGCTTTTAAAGTTACTTTAAAAAAATTTATTTAAAGTATAAAGTAATACTAATAAAAATTTTTTTTTTATTTATATTATAAATATAGCGCGCGTTAATATTGTACTTTTAAATTTTTAAATAAAAAAAATTAAAGTATAATTTATAGCTATATTTAGTATTAGTAAAAAACTGTTTGCAATTAATCCTAGTAATATATTTAAAAGTAAAAATATTATAATATTTTTTTAAAAATTGCAAAATCTATATATTAAAAATTTTTTATTTTAAAATTTTAAAAGCAAAATTTTTTATTATAATTTTTATAGGTGCAAGCTTATATTTAAATAAACTTTGTATATATTATACAAGTTTTAATTTTTATTATAAGTTAAAATATATTTATTATTAAGCTTTTTCTATATTTAATTATGTTTTTTTTTAGTATTAGCGCGCTAAAATAGTTTAATTAATACTAAATATTTTTATAGCTGCGCAGTATAAAAGTTATTTTTTAAAATTTTATAAATTAATTACTGCAATTGCATTTAAAATTAAATTATTAGTAGTAAATATATTACAGTTTAAAAAAGTTATGTTTAGTTTGTTTTAATATTAAGGTGGCTTATTGGGTAAAGTGGCTTATCGGCTGATAAGCCTCGGTACCTCATGTCATGAACTACCAGCGGCTACCTCCTCCAAACAAGGCGACCGAAGCTGTCCACGCCGAAGATAGATGTTCCTTGCAATGGGAAATAATAGATCCATGATTCTTATAGTTCTGTAAGTACGGACAAGCGAGGCTATCAGCATAGTCAATACTCTATTAGTGTTCAAAAGGTGATGACAGATCATGGACAACATAAAGGTGGCACGTGAATTCTAGAGGGATGAAAGTAGCGGTTTTGGGGACCACAAACGAAGCTGAAGCCTGGCACACGCAGATCACCCAACGAGAACACCTCAGCAACGATATAGGCTACTGCTCTGAGCCCGTTCTATGGCAGACCGTAGAGGAGACGCAGCAATAGAAGAAACGGAGACAGTTCATGAGTAGTACAAAATGACACCGAACGCATAGCATGGTTTGGGTAGTGAAGAGTAGCCACTAGCAGTCGTGGAAACGGTCGGTTCCTAGTGCACGACACTGTCTGCGTTTATGGTACCTAGCTTTAGAAGGTACGTAGGATCCATATCTATAGCAATGGTTGCTGACAGCATTCTTTAGATGGTACTGGGCGTAGCCAAACTGAACGATCCATACATAGTGCCGGCCCAAAGCAGCCATTGTAATTTAAGATAGTCTACGAACGTCCCGCCTAGGCTCATCATTCGATCCACGATAACCTGGCGAGTGTCTTGCTTCCAAGACACAAAACCATTCTTTGAGACCATTCTCCTGCTATCTCTTGCAACATGTGGGATCAGCGTTCGACATTCGGTACCTAACTCACGTTATCCAGCACTTCAACACTGCGTCTTTACCGCGGCATTCTCCGTTCGCCAAGGTTCTAGGCTTGCGTTCGGGTTTTGAAATGACCGAGTCTCTCGCATCGCCGGCAATCTTGCATGATTCATCGGGCCGCGTCCGTGCGAGAGGGAGCATGGGTACGGACACGCGATGCCAAAGCTTTGACCTGGGCTGCGGGGATGCCGCTTCCGGGGACGCTACAGTTCCCTCGTACATCACGGCAGTGGCAAGTGCACCTTATGAGTGTGGTACACTAATGAGAGACCCGCAGCATGATCTAGAAATGAGAGAATCAGCGCACAGCAGGATGTCGATTCGTTGCTACGATACGCCAGCGGCCTAGGTACACACATGGCTTTGCACTGCTAGTCGGGACGCAATAGCTCTCCCGCCCCTGCCGCCAACTAGGGTCAATATGATACATGACTTTGCTCTCTACGTGTATGCAACACGCTAGAAAGGGTCTAAAGTCGACTGCGCACTCGGTAGGTGGTCTCAATCCATATCTACTCCCTTAGATCTGGCTACATCAACATCAAAGCGCTAGTCTTGTCGTTCAATATGTCTCGGCACACCATCCAGTCCACTATTACCAGCGACGAACTGGACTGTATGACCAGTATAGCTGGTGATGAGTCGACCAGCTATCTGGAAGCCAACCCTATCTCTTGTCCTCATCCAATGACAGACGCAGCGTGGAACGCTTCGACATACTCTCTTGCAAACGAGACCCCAAACAAACACGAGTTCCCCTACGATACGGCGTACCACGACAACACTAGCTCTGCCATTCCCTTCGAGTACGATAGCTTCAATACCGAGTGGTTTCCATATGACACGGTGGACGAGGCTAGCGCGGCTTGCAAAAGTCCTCAAGTCCCATTCCACTACAACACGGAACTTCTCCGTCGCGGAGCCGTAGACGACCTCAGCGATATGCCTGTATTCGCTCTCGAGCAAGACAAGTCCAACGATGAGATCATGTCTCACGGCCTGATGAGCGAAGCGACTAGCTATGCATATTCCGCAGAGTGGGACACTTCCAGCGTTGATATTCCCCTTTCCAAGCCGTCCGATGGGCCTAGCCGAGCATGTGGCCCCAAATGCAACGCACTCTGTAACATCCCCTACCACGAGGGTGGCTACCGGGAGATGCATTGCACCAGGTTATTGTACATGGA